TTGAAAAAGATTCTCATATACAGAGTATTTCTCACCCAGGCATCCCCAATGCTGCATTTCCCAATCTAGGCAATTGAAAGATGGATGGACTCCGAAAATATAACCAAAAGATGGGCACATTTCATCATATATGGTGGACTTGTGCTAAAGCAAAAAAATTTTTGGGCAAAGATACATAAATGGCTAGAAAAGATGATAGGGAAACATGTAGATTTTAAACCTGAACTATTTTTATTAGGTATAATAACAAGAAAAAATTGATAAGAGAAGTAGGTATTTAATATTACACGTTTTAACAGCAGCAAGGATTATATTTGCAAAATCCTTGAAAAATGAAGATACACCGCAAGATGAAGAGATAGTCAGGAAGATATTAGATTGTGCAGAAATGGACAAATTTGACATTGAAAATTAAAAAGAAAGAAGATGGAGATTATTATCAAACATGGAATCAATTTTACCGGTGGCTGGAAAAAAGAGTTGGAGACTAAGAATGTAAATTTATAATGATTAAGCAATAATTAACCAGACAACATGATGTTCATTGAGCACTAAAAAAATTATTTAATACAAAACCAATAAAAAAAAGAAAGGAAGAAAGATGGATGGATGGACTGCAAGCCCCAGAATTCCCTGTCTGGCATTGGAATTCTGGGATTTAGAATTTATTCCTCTTCAAGTTGACCAGTGGACAAAGCCAGAGAATTGGGTACAAAATGCAATTTTGCTGGGCGAGAAAAATGTATAGAAATGGTAATTTTGCTAGGAGACTATGACTTCCCAGCATTCCCCGGGCAGCCTGGGGAATTCTGGGACTTGAAGTCTGCCCATCTCTGAAATGCTCAGTGGAGAATTCCTGTCTAGGGTTACAAAACTGCAATTTTGCAAAGAGAGAAAAAAAAACCTATATAGAAAATGGGATTTCTCCAGGAGGACTATAATCCCCCCCCCCCAGAATTCCCTAGGCAGACAGGGGAATTCTGGGACTTTCAGTCTGCCCATCACCAAATCACCCAGAGGAGAAATCCTGTCGGGGTATGAGAATTGGGTACAAAACATAATTTTGCTAGGAGGGAACAATGTATAGAAATTATAATTTTGCTAGGAGGATGTGACTTCCCAGAATTCCCCAGGTAGCCTGGGGGAATTCTGGGACTTGCAGTCCACCCATCTCTGAATTACTCAGTGGAGAATTCCTGTTTCGGGTTACAAACCTACAATTCTGCAAAGATGGAAAAAACCCATGTATAGAAAATGGGATTTGGCCAGGAGGACTATAATCCCCACCCCCCAGAATTCCCCAGGCAGCCTGGGGAATTCTGGGACTTGAAGTCTGCCCATCTCTGAAATGCTCAGTGGAGAATTCCTGTTTCGGGTTACAAAACTACAATTCTGCAAAGATGGAAAAAACCCATGTATAGAAAATGGGATTTGGCCAGGAGGACTATAATCCCCACCCCCCAGAATTCCCCAGGCAGCCTGGGGAATTCTGGGACTTGTAGTTCTCCCATCTGTGAATTACTCAGTGGAGAATTCCTGTCTCGGGTTACAAAATTACAATTCTACAAAGAGGGGAAAAACCCATATATAGAAAATGGGATTTGGCCAGGAGGACTATAATCCCCA